GTTTTTTTTTAGATGATTATGTTTTTGGGATGAAGTTCAAACACTCGTGTACCTGAAACAGGGTTGCCATGAACTCGAACTACATGAATAGCTCAAAGATAGCAAACCATCATGTGTTATTTCACTGATAGCTCTCTTAAGATAACTTTCAAATCTTTTTTCCATTGAATGCATGAAGGAATGACCCATTATATATTTTGGCTTTCAGTCACTTTTTCTGAGGAAAAGAAGGTTATTTTGAAATGAGCTTAGTTTAATTGTTAGTAGTATTATTTTATCAAGAACACGATACTGAACTGAATCTCAGTGTTTGACAGAAATCATCAGTTTTAAAGCTGAATGGTACGTGCTGTACCATTCCTCTTATCTTGAGGGTGTTCAGAGCAAATTCTAAATGTCAGTGTGTTTCTTATAAGGGCGCTGTTGTACATGAAATATATTCTGTGTTGTCTCCAGGGGCATCTTTAACCAGGGTTATCTCTGTCTAAAATGTGGCCTGGGGGCTCATAAAGAGTGTCTGGGTCGACTGGGAGTCTGTGGGAGAACAGGTGAGAGAAAAACCTCTCAAACCAATTGTTTTGCTCAATCCCACATTTTGGGTGACCCTTGTCATCACCATCATGCCACCGTTTTGATTAAAAACACACAAAATATAAACATCTAAAAGGCAAAAAAACCCATGAAGTCGACTGAGCACATTTGTGCTCCTTAGAGAAAGTCCTTTTAACAGTTTGGTCACTCTTTTGAGTTTTTTTCTGGTATAAAACACTCGTACCAGATTTGCAACTGTATAGAAAATTTACAGCCATGTGGATTTTCACAGTCATGTGAAAAATCTAAGTACACCTAAACTGCTGCTATAAGAATTAAGAGAGAAAGTAGAAGCCAGTTGCTGCTAATCAAAGGAACTTCATTAACTCATCATCTTTGTCTTAACACAATGCCACAATCTTCTCAGGAGTGGCAAATTCAAGGTCAAGATCAGACCGTTTAATACCCAAGAGAAATTTTGAAAAAACAAACCCAACCCAAAACAGAACCCCAAGAGACACATTTCAGAGACACATCACCTTTTTACGATTGGAAAAGACTAAATGAGTATGGCTCCTTTGGGAGAGTTGACAAGAAAAAGCACCTTTTCTCTAAAAAGAACATGGCAGCATGGCTTAGGTTTGTAACTTCTGGAGCGGTATCCTTTGGACAGACAAGATGGAGATGTTTGGCCATAATGCTGATGAAAATGATGAAATGACCAAAACTGGGTCATCTAAGAGGACAATGATCCCCAGAACATGAGCAGATTTCCAATAGAATGGCTGAATAAGAAATGAAGTTGGCCCAGTCAAAGTGCAGACCTCAACCTGACTGAAATGCACAATCTCAGTGAACTGAAATAATGCTGTGAACAACAGGGAGCCAAAAATCCTCCACAATGATGTGAGATAAACCAGTCATTTAAAGTTGTTGCTGCTAAAGGTAGCTCTAAAGGCTACCGATTAATTCGATGTACTTAGTTTTTCACACACTGTTACTCCTCTGAAAAGGTACAAATAGGATTATTTCTCCCTGAAGGAAAATCTAAATTCTGTATTAGTAGCAAAGTAGCAAACAAAGTAGCAAATTACAAATATTTATATTACATATAATTATATATATTACATATATAATTGTTTGCTTCATTTAGTACTTGCTGAATCTTATTCCTATGTCTAGTTGTGGGCCTGTGTCACCATTCTGGTGCTGTAGTTTGAGTTCTTTACTCTCCTTGAATGCACAGGCTGGCTAAAGCTAGCTGAGGCCTTTGACAAGCCTTCTTAACAGAAGTGCTGTGGTCTTTATGCATTCAGAGGCATGATGAGGGCTAGCAGAGGTTGACAGCTGAGGTTGCATGTCAGAAAGCCACCACGCACTCATATTGTATTCCTCTCACTGTAGCTGTTCTTCACCTCACTGCAGAGCCTGTCAAGTTGAGACCCAAGGTAAGACCCGGTCTGTTTCTCTTCTGTGACTTAGACACTTAAGCTAACATAATTATGGAGACAGATGAACTGTAGTGCCGAGCACAAAAGCACTCTCATCTATGGACAGATATAAGTGAGGAATGATTTTGTGCCCATGTAAACTGATATTCCAGTGAGTTGGTCATACTAGTGAACAGTTTACACTTGTTAAGTTGATAAAAGATGTTGGTATACAAATGTCAACTCCCTTTTGAAAACTTTGCTTAAGTGGTAATTTTATTGTTCCTCGTCTTGCAGCAACATTACACTGATTTAAAGACTCTCCTTAATTGAAAGACTTGTACAGAGTGTAGCGCCTACAATTTGAATGAAATACAAGGCAGAGCACTAGCATGTAACAGCTGTCCAATCACAGCAGCTGGTGTATCTCGCCAGTTTAGTCTTTATTGACTATTTAGATGGCAGTCTTTATGTGTCAACTTTGAAACAGAGCCTCAATTAAGAAGTATAGGAGTCCATAGCTAAATCTGTGGCACGTAACAGCCAACTGTTTATGCAGAAAATCCTCAAAAATATCCTTAAATGGCCAAGTTTCATTCTCCTTCTTCAACTGCAATTGCAGAATAAAGACATTGTGTCCACATAATTTGCAGACAATCTATTGTAGTCATAACAAGGATAAAATAATACAATATTTATGTCTTTTACAGTTTTTATTTGGTTATTATACTAAAAAGATGAAACCTTGACAATTTACTCTTGATTTCCGTCTTTAACTTTTCATATTGTTTAACTAACCACCTTAAAAATAGAACACTCACAGAATGATGTATTAAGAATGTGACTCACTGTGCAGGTCAGGCTGATCCTACACAGGGAGTAAGAAACCTCTACCTCTATATTTATCAATCTTTTCCTTCCTCCATATTTCTTTCTTCCTTTCTTGGTTTCATGCTCTTTTCTCTCTCTTGCATCTTGCTTTCTCTTTCCATTCACAGGACAACACAACACCAGCGGACCCAGGTCAGTATGGCTTGACCACTTTTGTGAACCTGCTAAGGGCTTTACGTGGTACCTCTTAAGCTTCTTTCATCTCACTTCTGTAGCAAAACAGAAACGCAGACAGGATGAAAAGGAGATGGTTAGTCACAGGCCAGAGTGAGTTTTGTAACAGATAGAGGGTGGTTTAAAGCTAACCCTTCAATGCTGTGATTCGCTTTTGATCACATATTACTCAACTGAAATGCTTCTTTTTTTGGCCACAAAAAATCCTCAAGATTCTTCCTTAGAAATGCACTTCTGCACAAATACTCAAATCTCTTTTGCTCACATGCATGCAGTGTTTAAAGGGAGGTAATGAACAGCAACAGTTTCCTCTTGACAAATATACTTAAGCAAGAATAACCAATGAATAATAGAATGCAGAAGAAATCCTTAACCAGACCACAGAAACCTCTTTCTCACTTCATGCCGTGATGCTTAAACTCTAGACAGCACCGAGATGAATTGGTGTGGGTGGAATCATTATGAGAACCATGGCAGGAGAAATGTCGGCAGAAAAACACTTCCAGCAGTCTATATGCCTCAGCCTCAACTGCTGAGCTGTGCCTTTGTGATAAATCAATTTCCATAAGGGCCTTTATGAGAAAGACATTTGTGCTTATTGTTCTTATTAAAAACATGAATGTGAGATATTCCATTCATCTGAGGTCAGAGCCAGCTAATAGTTTCCCCAGGCTGGTTTGCAAGGCAGTTGTGGCTGGAAGGGAGATGCGACTGAGAAGTCTAGATGTGTGAGTCAGGAGAGAGTAAGTGGCTGTGTCTTTTAAGTTGGCAGGGGTATTTAGTCTTAGCCTTAGCCCCGTGCTCATGGCTGTATTTGTCTGCCATGCCGTGGAAAGATTGGTACTGAGCCATTCAGGAATCAAAGAGATGAATTTCCTGCAATGGCAAATTGTTGCTTTTGAGAATAGTGACAGTATGATGGTTTAGGCTGTTATCAAAATTGACAGAATCCACTGTCATCAATTGTGTAGTTATGTACCTGTTACACATCAGGTTAGAGAATGTGCTTAAACCTTCAGGGTAAGAAGAATACAGGAAATTTATTTTGGGCATTTTAGTGGTGAAAGTGGATAAAATGATGGAATGGGTGGTTCACTTGAATTTCCCCCAAAAAAAGGTGTATTTTCTCATATCTTTCACTGCATAGCCCAGGTCTGCTTGTTGAGCAATCAACCAAAAGCACCTTTTTCATGACATTTCTCGGTCATGTAGCTGCACTATTTATATCCCTTAAATAAAATGAATAATCACAATGTATTAGTTCTCTATGTTGCTCAAAAAAGTCACACAAAATGTTTCTAATTTTGAGTGTTAATGTCTTTACGCTCCCTGTCTGCTAGGTTTGCCCAGGATGGTTGTGATCAGAGACTACAGTGGCATCCCCTCTTCTCAGTGTGCGCCCCCACTGAGTATTCACGTGGGGGATATCATTGAACTGATGTTTGCCGACTTGCACAGCTCTTGGTGGCAGGTGCGTGTCACTCAGCTCAACCTTGTTTTATCTCAACATCTGTGACTCTATGAAAAAGTAACATGTTATGGCTGACTAGGTTTGGTGTGGTGCACGCAATGTCTTTGCACTGTCATGACTTTGAATCTGTGCTGTATGTTACATCTTCCTTTAATGCTGGATGACTCCGTTAAGTGACAGAAAAGCTTTCAAAAATGTAGATTAATGTGGTGACTTCAACAATTTATCTCCCTTTGGCCGCCGTTTGCTATAAATCACTAATTGCATTGTTGTTGTTCATCACATCGGGTGTCCTATCAGGTGAGCCGCAAATGTGACAGTATGATGAGGTCAGCTCCAATTAAAAATATCAGCTGAAGATTTGTATGAGCTTCACTGGACCCCTGTTACATTACAAACGGGTTATTTGGCTGTTCTTTCACTCTTTAGATTGAATTAGAGGCTACATCAGATGATCTAACCAATTAGTGGCTCCAGTTGATTAATTGACTGCCACGGCGAAACAATAAAACGGCATACAGCTCAGGCTCTGGAGGACGTTCTAATGGTGGTGTGCAACCTCGGGGACCGGCACATTAACAACCATCTCACGAGGTCAGCCAGCGGTTGAGAGCATTTGACCTTTTCTATTTTTGAAGGGATGGCGATTTATCTGGGGTCTTCCGGCAGCCTCCTTAGCTTTTTCTCACTCTGCTTTATTTTGGTGCTAAAGCCTCATCCTTCTCCTCTGGTACAGGTCCAATCGTACTGCAGTCTTTGCCAACAGCGCAGCTGGAAGTAGGCAGTTAGCCCGATTTCCTGTGCTTCATGTTTCTCTCTGTTGTGACAGAGCACATAGTGGAGGGTGAGGACATGAATGCCATGAGACTTCATGTAAGCTGATAGAGCAGCGACCAGAATGTCATGCCACAGACCTGATGGCACTGCATTGTTTGCTACCATGGTAACCCTGCATGTTGGAAGGGGATAATCACAGGAATTATCTGATAAAACACATTTGTGTATTCCTGAGCTCTGCATAATGATAATGTAAATAGCTTAACTAAAAGCTGTCCTGTTGACTTTATAACCAACAGTGGAGCAGTATTTGATAAGCGGATTCCTGTTATGTTTGTATCATTTTTTTTTTCCATTGGTTTAAATATGAAGCTGGTTTCCACACATGCACTGACACAGAATTTTTTAAAGCACTCTATGAAAGCAGGGAGAAGTGGCTACACAAGCAGTTTCCAGGTTTATCAACACCCGCCTTATTGTAATCAACCTTATTGTAATATGACTGTACAAGTTTTCAAGTGGTGTGAATGCATGTTTCAAGAAATTCTTTTACGGAAGTTTATCATCTATCAGGACTGTGTCGATTCATTGGCATCCTGGTATTGGCAGCCTTCAGAAATTGAAAAGAAAGAAACTGGACTTCTTTAGGGTTTTTTTTGCCTCTTATCCAAGAGGGGTTGGAGGAGGTTCTGAGGTGTGTTCTGTGAGCCAAGGTGTGAAAAAAGGCACGAGTCATTCCTGTCACCGGGGCTGACAGGTGAAACCACTGTAAGACATTGTCCCACTCCAGCATCACATGAGCTATTGAGGTCACCTTAGGCATAGTGTGAATAGGGGTTGACGTACTTGGGAAGGGATCTCAGAATTGGATTGCAGGTGGCTGATAGTTGGTGTCGTAAGCCATCACCTGTGTTCAATGCTGATCATTCACAGTGGATGTAGATGGCCTTTTTTACTGTTCTTTCAACCCATCTGCCATCTTTGTCCATCTTTGTCCATCTTTACTCTGAGGTCACCTCTCTGCCACCTGAACTACGGCCACCCTAGCTGAAGTTTGTCCTGTTAAGGTGGCTTTCTTATGTTGTGCCATGCATTTGTGCAGTCCCTGTTTGGTTTCTGCTATGTAGACGTCCAAACACTCCTCACTGCACTCAGCTCATAAACTGTTTTTTACCCTGTGTTTGGGCATTCTGTCCTTGGGATGAACCAGTTTATGTCTGAGGCTGTTGCTCGGTCATAAAAATGCACCATATTGTCACACTTGGAGAACGTTTTTCTCTGACAAGCCTGCTACATAAGGGAGAGCAGATGAAATGAATGCTTGAACAAAATCAACACTGTAAAGAAGAATGGACCAAAATTCTTTCACAACAATGTGAGAAACTGATCAGTCACACAGAAATGATTATTTTGAGTTACTGTAGCTAAAGGTGGTTGTTTTGAATAATGATGTGGGCCTAGTTTTCCATGGGATAAATTCCTCTGGAACTTTTACCTCTGGGCCATTCTGGTTATCTGGCATTCTGCATGCAGCAAGGATCAGTTAACCACGCTCATTCATTTCAACACTATGTCGATCAGCCTTTTATTCTGTTCTTCTTCTTCTTCTTCTTGTTATTATTAACTATATAGCCTCAAAATGTTTATTTTTGCCTCTGTTACTTTTTACATTTGAAGAAGAGGTCTGTGATACCTATAATAAAAGAAGGAATAGAAGGTTTTGTTTTCAGTAAGTTTGTGAGGTCTTACAGTCACACACTACATTTTGGAAAGAAATCCTGAATCCTAACAAAGTCATGTTTGCTTACAATGAAAACTCCACAGGGTATCTTTAATCTCCAATGTCCCCAGTGGCGCCAGAGGATGGAATTACAGAACATTGAGAATTCATATCCCCTGTTACCCAGAAGGCAATTATCCCCCATCCCACTGGCAGAACAATACAATCAATCACTGTAATTTCATTTGATCCCTTGGCTCCTGCCTGTTTATGCCAACAGAGTAATAAGTTTAATCTTTATCATACGCTTATCGAAAGCATAACAAATAGAGAAGGGCTCTCAAAAAACCTTTGATGAAATGTTATTACACAGAATGAATCATAGAGATGGGTAAAGATTTGCTTTCCAATCTAGTTACTTTCGGGGCTTGCACGGTCCCAAAAAGCATTTTATACTCTAATAAGGAGGAGTGAGTAGGAAAGCATAAATGGGGCAGGAAGGCGAATGAAGAGCTCCACATGCCTTCACCACTCAACGTCTTCTCAGATTGGCTCAATGGACTTCAAATTGACCTCTAACTTGGAACTGGAAACTCAGATTATCTTCAGCTTAATGCTGATGCATATTCTTATTACTGTCTGCCAGACAATGTACATAATAGAGAAACAAGGTTATACAATAAACTAAACAATCCAAGTAGAGACAAGTCTATGTAAAAAAAAAAAACAACAAGAAGTAATTTGTTTGACTAAATTGGTTTATTTAACTGGAGAACAAAAGTCTGTTACTCCATGTTTGCTGGAGGAATTAATGATTTCACATAAAGCCTGTTGCTTCAGGCGGGTTAGCTAAAATGCAATTGTGAGTCTTTAACCCAAGAGCTCACGCTGTTTGGATATTCAAAGACCAGAATAAGATCCATTATTTAGTGTTAAACGAGGCTCTTGTTTTGATGCAGTACAAATCTAACTGCCGGCAGAGTTTGAACCATAATTAACTCGGGCTACAAATTAGATGCAGTGCTTGTTGTGTGCTAATTGCTGAGGATTTATTGAGGCAAGAGTGGGAGGGGAAGAGAAAAGGAAGAGAAGGAGAGAGAGAGAGGTGCAGTTGCTCCCAGACAAATATAATGCGATTAACAAGCGGTTGCCTTTGCAGGGCAAAAATCTGGCTACAAGCAAGATTGGCTTCTTTCCAAGCGATGCTGTGAGGCCTTGCCCGTGTGTAAGTGTGCATGTTTATTGTAATCAATAAGACAAATTTAGTATCATTACAATGCATTCAGTGTATTGATGTTTTGGCAGAAGAATGTAGTGCTTTTATATTGCAGTTTTCTCACTGTAGAAGATGGATTTTAGCTATTAGATATGCCTTGAATATCACATAAATGACCTCTACCTTCTGATCTGACTCAATCAAAACTCAAAATAACCACAATTATTTTTCTATGCCAGGTTCCAAAACCTGTCGATTATTCTGCCCAGCTCTGGTAAGTGGCAAAAATAAATGTCTAAGGATGGCCACAGTTCATTCTTACTCCAGATTATAGATAATGTTGGCTATACATTGTCTATGACAATGCATTGTGAGTGGATCAGTGCAATTACAGTAGCTGTTTATGGATGTTGAGGTTTGCAGGGCCTATGGAAAGATGCCAAGCTGAGGTCGCCCTCTTGGACCGGGAAAACAGCACGTATCTGATTCGGCACAGGAGTAAAGAGTGCACTGAATATGCAATCAGCATAAAGTAAGTGACATCTTGCTTTCTATTTATTTTCTCCGACATTTTTCACTCTTTTACCAAAAAAATCAAAATAAAAATGAAATAAACACAACACATGCAGTCAGCACAAGTCTTGTGGGCAAAAACACCTTCTTGCGAGAGACGGATGGTGGGAATAATTCAAGAAAACAAAATGCCCACATGCAAATAACTCAGAAAACAAACAATTCATCAAATGTTGAAGTGGATGGGCTGCAGCAGAAGGAGATCATGCTGTGTTCCAGTCGTCACTGCAAAATAAGTTGTAGTGACAGCAGCATCTAGTAACTGAAGATTGACAAAAAAAAATCATGTCTGGTGTAATGAGTCACAGTTTATACTGAAGTGCAAACGTTTGGAAAAGCAGTGTCGCTTCTAAAGGTCTAAAATGAGAAAAGAAACATTTCTTAGGGTTTGTTCTAGCAATATAAACCTATTTGGTCCAAGTTTTGAAGTGTCTGCTTTCAGCCTAATTTTCTAACAAGCTTCTAAATGTTGACAAAATAGTTGGGAGAAAATATACTGTTCCCAGCCCTCCTAGTATGTAAATGCATCAGTGCTGACTGTTGAGGTAGCTAATTTCCTAAGAGACCATCTTATCAACGAAAAAATTTCACTATTCTTGACACAAGCATCCAACAAATTAAAAATTCATTTTCACAGTGAAAAAAAATCCTTCACCCAGCAAAAAGTGCCGCCGTTTGCTCTACAGGCGTGAAGAAATAAAACTGAATTCATTAAATCCTGTTGTTGCTTTGTTGGTTAAAAACCGAAGAGTTTCGTCCTGGGGGATTTTTCTATAACGCTGTCTCTCGCTGAAATGGATCCAGGGATGCATCTTGTTATGGTTTTACACAGTTACTTAATTTTGCACTTTAGTGCGTTTGTGGGTTAAATTTCATCAGTTTATTTCATGCAACAGTTATTATTCAAGGTTACGCTAAACTGCATTTGCCATTGTTGTGGTTTATTTTACAACTTTTCTATAAGGACTTGGCCCTTCTCTAGTTATATAATTATAAATTTATATAATAAAATAAGGTCAAGTTAGAGCTTACTGGTCTCTTAATTAGAAATATAGTACTTGCAGTACTTAGAAATATAGTACTGGAGATAGATAAATGAGTAAATACAAAATAAAGCTTTCAAAATGATGATTTCATGTTGTAACAGAATAAAGCCATCCAAATCTATCTGCCCCTATGTGAAAAAGTAATTATCCACTAAATTTGCAGAGGGTGGCACAATCTGGAATCAAGTGTTTGCGATATCTGGCAATGAGTCTTTCACATCACTGTGGAGGAATTTTGGCCCACTCTTCTCTGCACATTCGTTTTAATCCAGTCACACTGCAGAGTTTTTGAACATGAACGGCCTGTTTAACATCAAAACAAAGACTTTCAATCTGATTTAAGTCTGGCCACTCCAAAACCTCAATTCTTTTATTTTTGCCATTCAAAAGTCAACTTGCTGGTGTGCTTTGAATCATTGTCCTGCTGCATAACTCAAGTGCGCCAGAGCTTCAAGGCACAAACTGATGGCCGGACATTGTCATTCAGGATTTTGTGTTAGAGAGTGGAATTCATGGTTTAAGTAATTAAAGCAAGTTGTGTCAGTCCTAAAGCAGCAAAGCAGCCATAGACCATCACATAACCACCATGTTAGACTATTGGCATAACATTGTTTTTAATAAATGCTGTATTAGTGTTATACCAGATGTAATGGGACCCAAACTTTCCAAAGTTAAACTTTTGTCTCATCAGTCCATAGAATATTTTCCCAAAAGTCTTGTAGCTCATCAAGATGTTTTTCAGCAAATTTGAGTCGAACCTTAGTGTTTATATTGGTTCGTGGTGGAGTGGTTTTACCTTGAATCTCTCCCATGAATGCCGTTTTCCCCAGCGTCTTCGTTATTGTTGAATCACAAAAACTTTAACTGAGCCAAGCGAGGCTTGCAGTTATTGAGACGCTGTTCTATTTAAGTGAATCAGCAGGTGTGGGAGTAACCAGGCCTGGGTGTGGCTAATGAAATTCAACTCAGATTTCCAAACAACCAATTTATTCACAGTTATTTCATTATTTAACAAGGGGAGCAATTACTTTTTTGCATTTTTAACCAGGTAGGTTTGTATGGCTTTTTCCCCTTAATGAATGAAATCATCATTGAAAAGCTGCATTTTGTATTTGTACTCTGATTCTCAAACGCCTGTAATTGTGACAATATAGAGTTGGATTAACAATGTTCCTTGAAAGACACATTTTTCAATTGTCACTGCTAAAGTACAAAATTCTCAAAACTTTTCTAGTTTTAGTTAAAAACATTTTTTGGTGAAGGAGACCTTGTCCGGCATTTGCACATCATTCCTAAAGTTTGTAGAAGTTCATTTTTGTTATTGTATGACAGCTATTCAACTGAATATAGCATGGGAAAGAGGGGGAATCGAATAGTCTATTTCACCATCTGTCTCAGACGTATATTCAACGAAAACTTGATAGCGTTGCATCAGACTGTTTGATGCTCTTCAGTTATCAGTCTGTGTATTTCAAAAGATGGCTAGAAACACACTTGAGTTGTAGATAAAACATACTTCCCTTAAGGCCTCAACAAATGACTGCTTTATCTACAAGATGAGTGCCTGCGTACTCCTCTTTTCAAATACAGCCCTGCCCATTTAACTAGTGAATACGTTTCAGGGCACATCAAAGCTTGTTCACTCTGTTAAAAAAGAAAGGACTATCGAGTCCCTCTGACCTGCCATGATGGCTCCAAGAGATTATAACAAGTGAGGGTGCACTCTGAAATAGTGTTTGGATGTTAAGACTATTCAGACTGTGACACACCATTCCAGCCCATTTGGTTTGGTGGACTCATACCGTTCCTCATTCAAAGCTTTGATGTACAGGGCCGGTTTCTGAACACTCCAATCCTAATTGCCTGTCTCAATGCTTAAGATCATTATCAGGATGGCCATTTGAGATAATGGAGCTTTACACAGAGAGCTGCTACTAATCAACTGGAACTGTCTGGTGTCAAACACTACAAGCGGTCAGTTTGTGTGTGCTGAATGCTGTTTGCATGTGTGTAACACCTTGGGAGCCTTTAGGAGGGAAGGAAACATCTTGCCTTCACCAAACAGGGGTTATCTGTCTCTGTGTGTTAGGCACCCTATGACTGCAAATCAGTAACATGTTACTTACAGTACAGTCATACATTCAGTACATCTATATAGTCGTACATGCAACTTGAAAATATTCTTTTCATTGGCTATACACTGCACTGAGAGATTTTCAGTTTGTCTTCGTATATCAAGGACATGTTAGATACAGCACACTATAGGAAATGGCTCAAACTCCCAACTTACTTTCACTACCACTTCAAACACTCCTACATTAAAACATAGAACTATATATAGTATTATAATCTCAAATAGATGCAGTGTTTTATTGAAACGTTTGCAAACATACATGGGAATACAGTCTCCAAGGCAAAAAAAAGGTTTGTCCAATTTTAACAAGCTAGAGACCACACTTATTCTTCAACAAAGCCTGAACTATCATAGGCAGGCTTTCTTGTATATTCTTTAAGTAGTCTCCAGGAATAGTTGTCCATGCCTCTTGAAGGACATTTAAAGCTCTTCTTCTTCTTTTTACATCACATTAATGTTGAGGTCCTAGCCCCGGGGAGCCCAATCCGTGGCAGATCACATTCAATTGTTTGTTTTTTCTATCCAGGTCTTCTTTTGCTGCATTGGCAGTGTGTTCGGGGTTATTGTCATGCTAGAAGTTTATCAATCAGATACTTTCCAGATGGTATTACACACCGAATCAAAATCTGACAATAGTTTCTACATTTATAATTTCATCACTTTTGTCAAGATCATCAAAATTTGACTTAAGTGCAACTCCAAGCCATGACTGTAGCATTTGTCCTCTGTCGTACTCTTTTCAGTACATACTGTATGATAACTATGCAGCAAAAATGTAAAGTTTTGATTCATCAGTCCATAAGACCTGGCCAGTGATTTTTCAGTCCAGTTCCTGTGTAATTTGCCATACTTTAGCCTGTTTCCTTTAATTAGGAAATGCTTCTTAACAGCTGCTCTTCAACTAAGATTCAATGTTATATGACGTAGTAAAAAATATACAAACAAAAAGCATTCCTCTGAAAGCGGTCAGGTTCAAAGACTGCACTGAAAATGAATGAATGAATGAACCTTGGACAGCTGTTGAAAAATATAAAGAAATGAGAGATGGCTCAAGACTTTTGCACAGCACTGAGTGATGATTTAGTCGTTTAATCCACAATATCACTCAATTGCAACTGTTATGTTTTACATTTGGTTGTAATGCAATTGTACTTTCAGTGTGGCAAACACACCAAGTCCATACAATCAGCAGCAGTAATTAGGCAACTCTATTGCAGAATTCACATTCCTTAGTAAAAAGAGGGCACGCTGTACTTTGGTATTATGGTGGCTGTCAAAAGCTGACACTCTTGTTATTCTGTCTATTTGTGACTGGCTGATTAGAAACTGTTACGGAGTATAATTTATGAGTAAAATAATTACTGTTGTCTAACCCTGAGCACAGTTGTGACACTGTTGTGTCAGCTAATGTATTTAAAGCTGGGGTAGGCAACATGTTTTTGGCAGCACTGAACAAAGCCAGCACCGAACAAAGCCCCTGGCTTCATTTTTTAGTTTTTCTACATTTTTTGTGAATTATAATAAAAGGATCAGTCTAATTCTAGCATAATTTTGACTATACGGTGCTTTGGTAAGAGATAGAAATTGGCTCAGCATAGTAACCAACTCTCAGCACAGACAGACCTTAGTGACAGTTCATCATAGAGACTGGACTGATGCAGAAGCATGTCTACTTGATTAACAACCCATGTCTTATTCATCCTCCACAGGTTCAATGATAAAGTCAAGCACATTAAGATTCTGACCAAGGATGGTGGCTTTTACATCGCCGAGAGTCGGGTGTTCAAAACTGTGCTGGTAATGGCTTTATCTTTCTATGGATTTTTGCAGCCTACAATCTGCTATAGCATTAATAAGCATAATCATTTTTACTTTCCACTATTTTTGCAGACCTCTCTTGAGAAAAATGCAATTTCCATACAAGTAAAAATGTACTTTTTAAAATTAAAATTATATAACTACCACTGGTTTATTTTGACATGTTTGTACCCACTTAGAAAGCCACAGGGACATGCTTTAAAGCTGTGGCTTTGTATCGCAGCAGCTGATATTCAAATGTATTCAGTGCTTGCACTTGACATTGGTGTAAAAAAAAATACATTGTGGTACGCTGCCCCATGGACACTTTCTCTGTAATACTCTCTGTATTTGCATTGCTTGTACTGTCAAGAATAATGAGCAGCTAACCTTTCAACTTGTCCTTGCATTCACTTCTATAGACTTGTGCACTATACAGTCTGTATTTTTATGGCTTAGCGGTGCTTTGGGTACATTTCTTTTTCTTGTGTGGTTGACACAGGACTTGGTGGAATACTACCAACAGCACTCTCTAAAGGAGGGTTTCAGCAGTCTCGACACCACTCTACAGCACCCCTACAGGGAACAGCCCAATGGAAACGTGCCCACGGCCATTACCAAGGTCGGGAGTGGTAAGTCTGCTTTGCAAACATTCAGGTTCCTTTCCTGATGGTATCTGTATGACAAGCTGAAAAGCTCCACGTTCAGATCAGAGCTTTATCCAGTTGTAGCTGAAAGATATTCTGAGCGTTTGTTTTGACCTGTTTGGAGGACCAGAGGGTCAGACTTTTGCTACAACAGACCAGGTCAGATAAAGCAAGGCGAGTAGTATTTTTTTTTTTCCCTGGGAAGTTTAGACCTGTCTTTATGATGGATATAGTCAGTGGTCTATATTTCCCATGCCATCTCATAGACACAATAAAACACTCTAAACCCCAAAACCGTTTGCTGTAATCAGTTTCTCACCTACTACACAGTTTCTTACATTACAGTCAAGTCAGTGTACTATACACTCTTGCTTTATATATATATATATATAAACATGCTGACAAAGCAGTTGTTTCATTATTAGACACTTAAGTGTCTAATACCTCTGTCTTGATACCCAAGGCTGTCATATTCCTAACATTTGAGACATGTTAGAAACACTTAGTTCAGCATAATGAGCTAACATGATTCCCCTTGGAATAGCATAGCATAGACAGCAGCAGATTTATCTTCGAACCTCTTTTTTTTTTTTTTGCTTGGTTGGTCTTCTCATGTCATTTAAGATTTAACTGCCTGATCGGTATATTTAATAGGCATGCCATTATGACCATCTGCCTAATATTGTATTGGTCCACCTTTTGCTGCCAAAACAGCCCTGACCCATTGACGTATGGACTTCACTAGACCCCTGAAGGTGTGTTGTTGTATGTAGCACCAAGAAGCTGCATTGCACACAACAAACTGCATTGCACTTTGTATTCTGACACCTTTCTATAAAAACCAGCATGAACTTTTTCGATTGTATGTTCAGTAAGCCTGTTAGGGTCTGCTTGGGTCCCATTGACGTAAATTTCGTCATTAGACAGCGAGCACGAGGGTCCATGTGACCGTCAGTGTGCCTGCCTGCTTTTTGTGACTGCACAGACTACTCCGTAGAGAATTTACATTATAGTACAACAACTACACATGTGCCCCAGGTGGCGGACTTCAAAGAAGTAGTCAGCAGTTGGCTCTCCAGCTGTCCTTGTCTGTATCAGCGGTGGTGTATAATCTAGGTTTTAAATGAAGAATATAAAAAACATGACTTCATTAATTGATTCTGTGCTAATTATTTGTTCAGTTTGTCTTCAGTGAAGAAGGAAGCATATACTAGAAGTAGAAAGTAGAAAATCGAAGTAGAAAATGTGGATAGACATTTGGAGGAAGCCCGGAGACGGAGAATAACAGCAGCAGAAGGCGAGAACAGGCGAGACAGAGAATGCAGTGCAAAAGATGATACGTTGTATTAACATGCATCCGGATACGTAATCTGGATAATGATGATGATTTACGCTGGCTATTAATAGCTGTACTTGTTATGTTGATTTTACCCTCATTGTAAATGACTCACAGGTATAGATGACTAATTTTGAAAAAAACAACAACATTAAAATCCATTGATTTTGTGACATTCATGGCCACCTATATGTGATCTACTTCTATTCTAATTGTTATTTATTCTGTGTGCATTTGTGCGTCAAGTTAATCTGTGTATGTTTTCATCCTATACATCTTACTGCATCTTAATAGATGCAAAGAGAGGCAAAGAGTACAAAGGGATGTGGAGTCAGAGAGATAGGAGAGGAAAACACAAAAGAGAGTCAGAGACAGCGAGTGAGAGAAATATAAAAGAGCCTCTGCAGCTCACCAGGCTTGGGAAAGCGAGGTCCCAGTTAGAGCCCAGTGCCCGAGGCAAGCACCAGGAGCCTGCTACTCCAAACGTCACACTCCGCACTCTGCTCAGCTCTGAGATGGCTTCACAATTTTCCTGACAGGACATGACATTTTACTTGGGCTTGCCGTGGAAAAAAAACCTGTGACAGCCGCCTGCTGACACACACCTGGGGGATACCCCTGGTCCAACCGAGAGACCGTGACTGTTTCCGCAAAAGTGGGAAAAGTTTGCAAATATGATCTGATGTAAAAGAGCAGGAAGCAGCTGGAGGTAAACTGTCTTAACTTAAAGAAAGGTGTATGTGTAAACAACCATAGCTGCCGCAAGAGTGGCAGAGGCAAGCAACTGAACACAGGAACAAAGTCAAAGTTAGCCCTTTGTGTCTTTTCGGATGTAAAATTCTGCTACATCCTTGTCCCTCTCACTCCTTTGTCAGCATCGGTCTCCTAGCGCATCAAGCTTCAAAGCAGCTCTGCAAGAGCCATGTTTGTGCATTGCTGCCATTCACCGCGCCGCTGTCTCTGAAAAACTCTTGACAGACCTGCCGCTGCCTCATTGCATTCTGGGATAGATTATTATTGCCTTAAGTCGTCCACCCCCATAGACAGACTTAGAGTGGGCACCGTATTCTCTGTCTGGTAAACAGCCTCTGTGGAAAGACAGATGTCATGCCAAAACAACAACAATCTCAAAACAGACACCTCATAGCAAAGAAAATAGAATGCAAGGCTGAGTAAACAATCACAAGATGCAGAACTACTGTAAAGCCATCAAAACTCTGGAGTAATTTGCTTGGAAAAACCCCAGCTAGAATTTTTAATTAAGTCTGACTGAGTGCATTTCCCTGTGTGTGTGAAAGCTGGAGTTGGGAACTAATTAGCAATGCAATGATCTTGTGTTGTCTGTCAGGGTAATCATTTTGTCTAACTTTTACTGGGACACCGGAGTCTGTTATCTTATATCAATATCATTAAATTTGATGTATAATGTCCTGAAAATATTTATGACAGAATTATTGAAAGAATTTTAAGATACTCAACTTGTGCATTCACCTGAAAACATCGAATACATCAGCCCTGCAATACATTTTCACAAGGTTTCTAGTATTCAGTTGCTGTAGCTTTGTGGTCATTTCTCTGGCCCACATTGATATAAATAGCATATTTTAAATAATAGAAACTCATGTCACCCTGTGCACGGTCCATGCACATATGTTCTTGTCTAAAAGAATCAAAAAATATTTTCATGTAAAGTATAAATACTCATGCTATGTTAGTATGTTAATAGTTGTGCGAACTCTGGTCAGACACTTGACGCATGTTGGTCTCTGCCTGTACGGTACAAAGAGAAGGCATGAAACCATACTGCTGTGCTGACGGGAGTTGTTTTCTGAGCATAAGGGTCTGCTGGCTCAGGTGAGATTTCATATGGGAGCAGGAGCTCTTAGCTTTGCAGTGTGGAATCCCAGACGCTGCCTTGTCACAGCACCGTGCTTCTGCTCAGACGTATACTTACACACAAGCTGCCGCTGCTTTTTTAGTCTGAAGCTGAAAATTTTGCTATTGCTGATTTTTATGCAGTGTAACCAGCACAAAGTTGAAGAAAGCCACATTATGTAGCCAAAAGTTTACATCCGAGACTTATTATTCAGCATAGTAAACCAAAAATGATGGACGTTAATAGGCAAAGGGATTCTTTACAGAAATTCCTACAACAAGTAGATCCATCTGTATACCCAAATAGTCTTTAGTATTCAGACCAGCAGTCCTGCTCATACCATCTCCAAATTAAGTGTCTCCCATCAATTTTTCATTTTCACTGGGTTAGGTCCTTTGGTGAAAAACACATTATCATTCATTTTATCCTGCTATATTAGTATGCCAAAGCAAACTAAATTATATATTCTGATTATTTTTGTTGAAGTTTTTCTCTTTTAGGATTGGACCACAATTATAGAAGAAGTGGTAACCAAATAAAGGACTTTATACAGCATTTTGTGAAATATCTTGTAATGTCTTGATATGGCTGTGGCAGTTTTGGCAGTTCTGCGTAGGACTGCCACACTGTAGTGCTCCTGTCTCCACATTTTTATCCTGAATTAGGAATGATACTTTCTCAGACTTGTTTCTGCTACGTCAAAAGCACACAATTGTCTTAAATATTGGTCCATTGCCTACTACTGACATTTTGCTGAATTGGTACTGAGGCATAAAAAGCAACATATAAGTGTTTAAAAAAGTCATACCTATACTGACTTTCAGGCATCAAAACGCATTATAGGCTCACTCACTTAACCCACCTTACTGCGGTTTGTGCTGTGTAAGATTTTGTGCATGTGCCCGGGGCAGTAACAATTTGTCTGATGGTTTCACTGTTTTGCCCTCCTCTCTCACTGCGTATCCCCAACCTTATTTGCTTTTTTGCTTGTACTTTGACTTTGACAACTTTTACTCTTTCTCTCTCCTTTACCCTCACACAAACACGCTCTCTTTCTGTCAAACTTGTGTTTACTTTGCTTATGTTCTCTCTTTGCTCCCACTACGGCCTGAACCCCCTCCCATCACTCGCTTCGTTTCTCTGTAGTTTCTCCTGGCGGCTGCAGCTTTGTTCCTCCCTCCTCCTCGCCTTTCTGGTCAGGTACAGGTACAGCTTTTCTACTCTCTTTGAATTCCCCCCCGCTGTATGTCCACATTTCCACATTTCTAAAGATGAGCTGTCTTGTTTTCTTGTCTCTTTTAAATAATGCATTTTTTTCCTTGGTAATTACACAGAGTGTATAAGTCACCCCGTTGGGGAAAAACCCTCACATCAGTCTTCTGGAAATTAAATATCACAGATGTTATGAATTTCTGCCGGCTATGATATCTCCCATTTGGTCAAGATAACTGCAGAAATGTCAGCAAACCACTGGCAAAGAGCTGCAAAGCCACCATTGCTGGCATTTACATTTTACTACATCCAACAATAACACTATCAATTCAGCTAATTAAAAAGATGACATGCGCTTTTGTTTGTATGGTTTCACTTAATGAACTGTGACAAATATGTTACACAATAAAACAGTTAATTGAGCTTTAGTATCCATTAAAAGTTGTGACTTTAAGGCCAACAGTGGTGGTTACCCTCTTGAAATAATGAGTAAGGGCTCCCGAGTCAGAATAACTGGAGGTTTTTCACATTTTCGTGTTTCCAGCAAGACACGAATGCAAAAATTTTAGTTTATTAAGAATATTTAAGAATTAAATGATCTCTCTCTGTGCTTACTTTAAGCATGCGTGTGTGGAACTGAGCACCTGAGTTGTTGTGATGTGGGTTAACTTTGGATGTCTGTGTGCATGAGAGGATAGATGTATTCCTTTCGTCCAGCATATCTGCACAGTCGTGTCATCTGTGTTTTCACAGATAAGGTAAACAAACCTATGCACAGCCGTGTTCACGTGTGATATGAGCCCTGACCTGCATGCGTAGGAACAAACTTGGATAACCTGATAAGTGCTGGATGCATCGCTTGAATTCACCTTTAACTTTTAATAAAATGAACACATGACCATGATAACCCAAGTTCTCTCATCCTGGCTGCGTGCTCGGACCCACCAAGCTGAGCTGTCGGATACATTTCTCCTCTCTCACCCGCGAACCTTAAGCATTATCTCATTTCTGTCTCTGCGGTTTTGCTTTTACATGAATCAAACCCATGAGTCAAGGCTTTTTAGAATCGCTGCCCTATCATTCTCACAAAATGACATAGTCAGTTTACTACGATTAATACCTGTGAGGAATATGTTTTGTACTAAAAAAAAAAAGAAAAAAATCAATGAACCATAATAATTTTATATAGATGAACTGAATTTAGTTTGGCTCAAGTTCTCTCTTGATCCTTGTTAGTTAGTTTTCTTACAGTAAGTGAGCATGAAAGTTTAATCTCACCCTGAAAACAGCAGTACATCTGTAAACTTTGTCTTTAAATATTAAATTCAGCTTACATTTTTGTGAGGAGTGTAACTCTGATCTGTAAGTGTGATATTTCTTGCTGGATCAGTGTCAGCAGATGTTTTCACAGAGTCTAAGATAAGGTGAAATTTTGTAAATGGGTCCAAAAGTAATATAAGATCTCTCTCTGTTTCAGTCTTTTCTCCTAGAGTGGTGGGTTATGCAATTGCACGCTACGACTTCTGCTCCAGAGACACGCGGGAGCTTTCTCTGCAACAGGGAGACGTTATCACTATCTACACCAAGATGCCCAATGGGTGGTGGAAGGGAGTAGTCGGTGGCAGGGTATGTCTTTGACAAACTTGCTCTTTGCAGCTGGCAGGATTTTTTTTACTTGTTTCAAAGTGGGACAACAAATAAACATTTCACAAATATTTTGTATTAAAAATTAAATTAAAAAGGGTGAATCAGTAAATGGCTGTGTTTGGCAGGGAGCTTGTGAGTGTGCATGTCATGAAGGGTGAACCACTTCATCCATAGTTAAATGGAAAAAAGCTCCTTAGTTTTAATGGGACATGTCACATTGGCACAACAAAACGTCCGTCAGTTAATTTATTATTTTTTTTACCAGGTTTGTTTAGCCAAAGTATCAGTTGTTATGCAATTCGATGCACAACGACTCGCCACTAAATTTGCTCACATCTGAGTATGGCACTGCTTGTGAACACACTTCTCCAACCCTGCCATGCAGGCACAGTATCACAGTTACCACTCATCCTAGAGTTAACAGTGAATTATCTCTTGTACTCACCTCCAAATTGTCAGAATTATTGACCCATCCTGATCAAGACTACATATAACAGTCTGTACATTGTGACAGGAGAAGAATTCTTCACAAGATCAGCGGAGGTCTGGTTGAATTTGAAATGCTGATCTAGATGCTACTTTTCTCTTCTTAGGTGGGATGGTTTCCCTCTACTTATGTGGAAGAGGAGGACTGACTTCGCTTGTTGGAACGTGTATTCAGCACCCATTCAGGCTGAAACCCTCCAGTGAACGCCATGCTGCTCTGCCACTGTCTGGGCCCACAGTCATATCTCTCTTTGATAAAAATCCAGAGACTTGGACACAAGAGGAGGTGGCAGTGCCCTTAAAAATCTTCTCCTGTCCTCTGACAGACTCTCACACAGAAATGTCAAATCACAGATTCCAGGAGCGTCATGCCATATCTTACCTCTACGGAGTCCTGTCTGCCCCTGCGGCCCACTGGGAAGTACATGTGCTGTGCCTAGATAACCCTCCCCCTTCCCTTCCTCTCCCACTCAACTTCTCTTATTATTGATGACTCCATCATCTGGTATGAGTCTTGCCTTTCGTTGTTGTCATGTATCGAGGTCAGCAAGGCTCAATCATCTAGCTGGACCACAGATTCTGCTTATAGTGCCCTGCTCAAGTACCAAATTAAAATGAAAGTGTTGAGAAGTTTTTGACTCTTCCTGGAACACTATAGCCCTCATGGCTGTGTCGATATTTGCGTTCAGTTCTCTTTATTCTTGTTTTTTGCATTCCAAACTGCGTGGACACAAACCTTTGATAAAACTGTAACTGCCAAACTTTGAATTTGACCCTAATTTTAAAAAGGGGTGGAACATGGAGAAAAAGGATGGAACCATGATGGACTGATCTGTCAGTCAGTGGACCTGTGGACGCTGAAGTGATGCACATCTGCAGAGAAACAGCTGATTATGTGGCCATAGGACGCCACTGATAAAGCTACATCTCCCAAATTAGATTCCTGTCCTTTTAAATACTGTTTTATTTAAATAATCACCTCAACTTTAAGTGCAGCCTTCAATAAACATTGAGTTGATGAAAATCATTAAAAATCTGTTTAGCCTGAAAAGCTATAGTTTGACATTTTGAGAAATGTACTTATTTGCTCCTTTGGCAAAATTAGATGAGAAGGTTAATACCAGTCTGAATTTAGTCTGTTTAATATAAAGTATGAAACAGTCATTGGCATAAAGGCTCACTTATTGAGAGGTTAGAATTCATTTGTTCAATTTGTAATAAAGCAAAACTGTAAAACATTCAATGTGCGGTTTTACTTGTATATGTGTTGGACTTTCTTGTCAGTGGGGACTTTTTTATGTCTCTGTGGGTTGTCTGGCAAACCCATAGTGATGACGAGTGATGTTAGAGAACTTAAGAGGGGCTGGTAGGTGGGTATTGAAATCTCCATAGCAAGTTGGGTTATTGAAGCCAGTCTTTATGCTAAGCTAAGCTAACCTCCTTGTGGCTGCAGGTTCATATTTAGTGGAAAGACACAAGAGTTATCAGTCCTCTGTTACACTCACCAAGGAACTCTATAAGCATTTCCCAAAATATCAACCTATTCCAGCCGTGGTTATTCCTGGCCTTCAAGACTACAAATGAATATGGCAACTTGTCACAGTGAAAAAGGTGGTTTCACAGTGTTCCCATTTGATGGCACTAGAGCAAATATAATGCCCAGTACTCATACATTTTTAGACATCAAAGAGAAAAAGTGTATGCATAAAAGGAATTATAAAGCCAAATACATTTTAAAAGTACATGTGTGGTGTGGATAGGTCTATACTTCACTATGAGCTCCTTGATCTTTTGATCATTTACTGTGGAAACCAGAGAGCCCTTTTGCATTCCACGGATTTTGTGTTTACCTCAACTCTCTCTCTTTTTTTTTGGTTTCAGTATGAATGATTCAAGGGTGATGTAACTGCTGTTCACTGTAGAGCAAGGTAGCACAAGGGCGTTAAGTGATGCTGTTTTCCTTCAAACATTAATACCCCACTAACCATGTGTTTGACATAAATATTTAATAAAAGCACGCTCTTTGAGTTGCACTTTTAAAATGGGATAGGCTATTATTCCCTCTTCGGACAAATGTTACATTGCAGGAACAAAGGCTCTGCGAGGTTGCATCACAAATCACAGCTGTGTCTGATATGGTTTTTGGAGGCGCAGTGGAGAACAGGCAGTGCTCAAATAATGTCCAAACAAACAGAACAGGGAAGACGACTGAAAACCGTTATGATGTAGGAACATGTAGATGTAGAACAGTATTTTTTTTTCTTTGCCACACTGAAATTTAGCACAAAATTGTACCCCTTTCAGCAAATTTGCATTGTACAGGCTAAAATTTGCAACATATTTCCTCTCTTGGAAATTATATTTGTTGATCCTTTGTCCTAAATTAGTTATAACTTGAGCGCAATGGCTCAATTAAAGTAAAAGAATGTGACTGCAGGATTTCCAGTATTTGCAAATGCAAGGATTTTCTTTTATACTTGTCACATGCATGTATTTGTCATAACCATATAGTATATGTAAAAAAACAAAATAGATATAGCCAGTATGATGTCGCACAGTGTTTTTGACCCTGCATTTTGAAGTCTTTTTAGCATTTTGTCTTGCTAAAGTTATTAAACATGGGAGTCTGCCAGGATTGATGGGCTTCTGCAGGCACCCCAAAGTGGGCATTAGAATAATTGCATAGGAGGTGGATTATAGATTAATTATTATAGAGAAAACAGTCATAGGACTGTGGGGCTGATAGGTCAGCATTACAGAAAAATGTCCTACTGAGTAAATAATGATGGAAAACCAAAACCTAAATAAATGAAATAAGAAAGTCTTTGTTAGCATTACCAAAAACAGGGCTGCCTATAATAGCATTTCACTGCTGAACTTGTGTCTAAGCTGTAGACACTACACACTACTATACTTCGCAGCTCTTATGTGTCATGTTAGTTAGAGATGGTAACAACTGCATCAAAATACCATCTAAAAGAAACAGTTTCACAACATCAACGGAAAGGTCTTTATTGATGTGCAGATGGGCACATCAGGCAGTCTTGAGGGACTGCTGGTACAGAGATGACATGGTTCACATTATTGTTTCCACCTTGTATTCACTGACTTCAAAAGTCAGAATTTGCTACATTTAGCTAAATTTATGTATTTTAAGCAAACAAATTAAGCAAATGCTCCAGTTAATCCCTTGTGATCCTGATGACCCTGCATCTAGTGAGATGCTGCTCTTTTATCTATAGGTGTGTTCATTTTACTGGTTTCGGTTTATTTTAATGCCGTGATGCAGTAAGCTAGTTCTCTTAATTACTGAATGTGCATTTCCTGCTGTTTTATACAGTCTGATCATATATTACCATAGATGAAATTCTCTTTCAAATATAACAATGGATTGATTTACACACTGGAGCCTCACAGTATCAGTATTCTTGTAATGTAAACACTCCCTCAGGCTTTCTTTCCCCCCACTGCTCTGCAGCCACTCTAATGACCAAACCCAGCAGAGGGAGGGTTCTGCTCAGCTAACAGTAACCCTCCCATCACGAAAGAGGTAGAAAAAATGGCTCCCCTAATACTCTTCCTCTCCTTAATCTGTCTGTTCTTGTCTTAGCCAAGGAGATGAAAGGCGACAACAGAGAAGTTGGACACCAGCCAGAGAGAGAGAGAGAGAAATGGATGTACAAGGCTGCATGGAGTATGGTGAGATAAAGAACAGGTAGAAACACGATAGTGTGTATGGATATGAGAGAGGGACAAAGGCAGAAAGAGAAAGCAAAGGAGGCCCTGCATCATCTTCATCTGTTGGGATGATCTTCTTAACCCCAGTCTTCACCTGTCAGTCCCTCTGGATCTCTATATGGGGCTAAAAGGGAGTTTAGCAAAAGCTGAAACTGCAAATACAGTGAGCTCTCACGTCCCCTCAAAGGGGCTCGGCTCTCTGAGAGAGTTTAACAGTATGATTTACATTCAACTGATGACTTCTGACCATGAAACCTCTTACAAACTAAAACTGCAGCTAATGTTTTTCTTCACTCAGGGAAGGTGCATATAAAATGTCTCACAAGAAAAAAGGGAATGATTGAAAAAGTTATCAGATCTTATGAGAAAACCCAAACCTGACCCTGAATTGGATAAGTGAACAGAAATGGATGGGTAGGGGTGCAGCATGATGGCACAGTGGTTAGCGCTGTTGCGTCATAGCAAGAAGGGTTTAAATCTGCCGGCTGGGGTCGTACAGCTGCGGCCTTTGTATGTAGAGGTTGTGTGAGTTCACTCTGTGTACTCTGGCTTCGGTCCAAAGACATGCAATGGGTTCAGTTAACTGCCAGTTCTAAACTGGCTGTAGATATGAATGTGAGAGTGAATCTCTCCCTGTGTTAGCCCTTCACGCCATAGCAGCTGGAACAGGCTCCAGCAACCTCCCACGACCCTGAATTGGAAAAGCGGAAGAAAATGGGTGGATGAATTGAATTGTTATAACATGACATATATGATCTGATGGCAGCTCCACCTCATACATGCAAAACATTCTGATTAAAATCTGAAAATAATGTGTTATTCTTCTTTTTAGTGCTCTTACTGGGATTTTATGGGGAAGTTGCCCTCATAAGAAAAAACAAAAAACTGTATTGATTGTTCATTTAGAAACATGAGCAAACATGAACGGTAGTTTTGCTTAATTCATTAATTTATATGCTAGAAAATAACTCAATCTGACCACAGTGCTTTTGTTTTTTGGAAGTCCTTACAGTTACTTGGCCCACTAGGAGAAAGGCCCTGAGTCACATGACCTATTTGAAAACCCTAGGGAAATGATCAATTCTGTGCCTACAAGAGAGTAGAAGAAGTATGAGCGGTTGACTTTAACGCTTCAAAAATGTCATTATGAGGAAAGGTATCGAGGAAAGAAGAAATTGTACAGAAGACTTAGTGAGTATCGGTGACAAAGTTGAAAATGCTCGTTAATTCTTTTTGCTGTAGTCACATGCAGTGATTGCTAAGTATGCCATAGGCCACCATTGCTGAATGGTCTGTCGAACTGAGACGAGTTAATCAGTAAAACAAGAGAAGAAGAGAAGGTAAGAACACAGCCACCCTCCTCCCTGCTCGCCTGTATGGTGTTGCTAAGTCTCCATGAGGACTCTATCAGTGCTACCCAGCAATTAAGATCTCACAGATCAAAGCAGTCTAAATGAGCTAATCCTCAGAGAACCGCTGCTCTCTGTCTGTCTCTCTCTCCGTGTCTCCCTCACCCCAGTTACTTCCTCTTGACTCATGGGCTCCATGTGCTGACTGCGCTTTGATGCTTGACAGCGGTGGGTCTTCTAAATGTAAAATGGTGAATAAATGTGTATTAATGGGTAATGCTTTCATATCCTTAATGTCAATTTGCACAGGCTGGGGAGCATGTTTTCAAAGCTCTTAAGACATAATTGACGATCACGAATCTGTAGCCGCTGTATCTGATGTCCACATGCAGTGCACAAAACCTCTGAGGACCGCATCGGCAGGAAGAGATTTAATACAACGTTTGATAACAGGCAGTATTAAAATGTCCAGGCCTGCATTAAAACGAATGATGCAACAAGCCCCTTCTGAGTGTGGCGAGTTGGAAGCAGCAGTGGCGTGAAAGCGAGTGACAGCTTTGAGGTCAATAGTTGTTCACAGGAGCGTGACGCTGGTAGCTGCTTAGCAGGTCGGTCATTATCATAGGAAAAGCAGAGCATCTGCCTGTGACTCCCGGGGACAGGTTTAACGAGGTGGTGGTGCTTGTCATGGGGGCTTGCTTTGGCAGGGTCTGTCTGTCTCTAACCCCACCTGCTCATCCCCCACCCCCCTTCATGTCTACCTCTTCTCCTCCAACCCTTTCCTTCAGGTCTGCCAAATGGGGGTGTTCATGTTTACAGCTGCCTCCTCCATCAGGGAACCATTGTTTCATGGCAGCCTTTTGTGATGAAGGTTTCTGTCTTCCCGCTATTATTTCTTCCCACTTGATTCCCTTTTTTGTTTTTTTGTCCCCCTTGTTTGCATCTAAGCTGTCTATCTTCATGTTACTTCGGTCTTTGTCACTCTGTTTTTGTCATTCTCTGTTTATGTTCTTCTGCTTGTTTGACCCCATTATTTGTGCCACTACCTCCAGCTTTCTTTTAATACATGTAATAGCAATCCTTTGATTCACTAACTGCCAAAGTCAATACTGCTTTGTAATAAATCACGAATAAATGCTTAATAA